TAAACTATTAATACTTTATTTGTATCTGTTACTATATTTCACTGGAACAATGTTTTTGTTCGAAACACAAGTATTCAGATACCACTTTGCATATAACTCGTAAATTGGCAATGTCGTGTTTGATATTTTATCTTTATTTACATACATATATTTAACGTTTTCAGTCAGATATTTTAATTAAATACACGAAATAAAATTCCTTTTGCGAAATTTGATTTCAATCCTAAAGCACTTTGACACACTAAAAGTATCCGAATCTTTAATATCAGGCAAATCATTAAAAATTTGAACCACATATTTATGTGTATGTACTTTAGATATAGATATTACTAACATCTCGTTATTGATATCTATATAATAAGGCTATACTCATAAGAAAATAAACACATTTAAAAAAAAACTTAAGTATGTACAAAAATAGCAACTCTACTAGAATTACTTGTAGTTTTATATCCGCAAGTTGACATGTTTATTACAAATTATAACAAATTAAAAATTTATTTTATTAATAAATACGACTACCCTTATCTGTATCGAATCTTAATTTCTATCCAAGTTGGAAAGCCAATAAATTAGCAGTGGAAAAAATTGTCGCATTCAAACAAATTTTACATATATTGCACACCCTTGTCCATTATATTATGACACCCAATGACTGGTACTTCCAACTGAGTATTCACAAGATATAAAGGATCAAAATATTTTGGTTTCGAGTTAACCTGTTTTCAACGCAAAGATAACGTAATTTGAACTTAATTTGTATAGCCATAGAGATGAAATTACTGCAATATTTATAACTCAACGTTGAACCAACGAAGTATAATTTTGAACTGTATTTAATAGACAACAAGGTTCGAATATGTTTAGCTTTATTATTAATACTTATTTATAGATAGGATGTGAAGCATAAAACAGGGGGCGCCCGCGCACCCTAGCGTTTTATTTTTTGTCTCTCTCTTTCAATCGAGGGTGGTACACATAAGGACTTATATAGACTGGGTAATAGGTGACTTACAATACGTTTTATTTACAATGTTATTAAAAGTAACAAAACAATTAAAAACTATATTTTTATAAAATTAAAATATTCTAAAGCTTTATAAAGTAAAATAAAAAATTATAAAAGCTTATGGGAATAGAATAAAAATGCTTTTTTAATCAAAAATCATCGTAATCGCTAAATTATCGTCCTAACAAATAATTCAAAGATTTTTTTAAAATAATAAATATACAAATGGTATTATTTTCTACATCAGCTAAAATAAAAAACATCTCTAATTAATAAAAAAATATAAAAATTAAAATACTTAAAAAGTAAGTAATAAAAATAAGCGCTTAAAATGTTACATGTGTAATGCCCTTATATTACACGTTTCTCTCTTGCTTCCACGAACAAGTATTGGGGTAACATTATTATTACAAACAATATTGTTATTTTCGATATTTCAATGCCATAAACTCACTTTACATAAAAAATCGTGTGTGTGTACTGTATGTACGCACGTAAGAAGTTATACTTCTTTGGCGTAACAGAACAAAAATAGCTAAAGATTTCATCCCGTATGTCACAACTCTGTGTTTGTAAAGGGAATGCAGCTAACTTCATCATGTCGCTTTTTGGCTGTCGCTGTGCGCGCGCATCGTAAAAATTTTTCTCTCATATTTTTTTCCGAACGTGCCAAAAGAAGTATAACTTCAAAATAATTTAATATTTTTTATATATCTACTTGATTTAATAGTGTTAGGTAATAGGTACTTTTGGGTTTAATGAAAAATTCAATCTTTCTTTACGTATAATCGAATACATACAAATTCAGAGGATACAAACGAGATAAGGATCTTACTTAATATTTAAGTTGATGATGTCCTCCTGATCGATTCCGGCCACGGCGGCCAGTCTCATTGAGACTAGCCAACTGCGCAGGAGATATTATAGTGCACATGTGTACGCGCAGACACAACGTGCACTCTGTCCCTGTCACTCTCATACTCCGGTGGGACGACTAATCGACACGACCAGTGAGAGTTAAGGCGCAGGACCGATTGCTTTACGTGCTCTCCGAGGCACGGAGGTGAAACACCGCCAACTTCCCAACTCCAGGCTGTTACTGAGGCTTACTATACAGAAAGACTCAATAGCTAAACTTGGCCCGACCCGGGACTCGAACCCAAGACCTCCGGGTGTGCAGCCGCACATCCTAGCCACTACACCACCGAGGCAGTTTTGTTTAAGTTATCAACTATGTAATACAAACCACAGAGTGTTACGTAACGAGGTTTTACTACAAATTACGGAACTTTTCCAAAAACCACAATTCTGAATGGGTTCGTTTTCATTAAAACAGGTCAGTATCCTCGTATGGTCAAAGACCGAACAGCTGTTCGTCGAAGAAACGTGCGCGCGAGTCGATAAGGGCGCCGTCATAATCTTGTGATTTTGCAAAATTACGAACAAAAATTTTACTATATTAAAATGTATAAAATCTATAGTTTTTGGAATTTCTGTCTGTCTCTGCGTCTCGGGCCGCATCGCGAGAAAACCACAGAACAGATTTTGATGAAATTTGGTATGATGATAGCTGGTCATCCGGGTCAAATAAAGGATACTTTTTATAGCGGGAACATATCTCATCTGTGAGAAATGCACTATACTAACCGTTTAAACCTACCTAGAGACGAACCCGAGAGGATTGAGGGTGAGTTAGAGTAAGTAGTAACCTATATACTATGTATTAGTTTTTTCAACCGACTTCAAAAAGGAGGAGGTTCTCAATTCGACTGTATGTTTTTTTTTTTATGTTTGTTACCTCAGAACTCCGCCATTTATTAACCGATTTGGAAAATTTTTGTTTTGTTTGAAAGGGTGAGGGCCAGAAGGTGGATAGGTGGAACTCTTCAACGGCTAATAGTAGATACTTTGAGTTTGGGCTTATTTTGTTTGATTTGACAAGCCTAACATGTTAAAAAGTTTTTATTTTAATATGTGTAAGCCCTTATATCTTCTTACACCTATACATAAAAAAAAGAAAAATAATATATCGCATATGACCGTACCCTTACCGCGCCAAGTGTAAAATTAAGCTCAAAAAGACCCGAACAGTATAAACATGAAAAGTTTAAGATACTGTCTCACCGTTACGCTACGTATTGCAATAAAGAATCAACTTTATACTTAAAAAATATAATTATTTTGAAATACGCATACTTATAACATAAATATTTTGTACGGGAGCTGTGTGGGATTTTATATATTGCATATAGGTACTTACATAACATTAATTATAATTGATGCGAAAGAATTTCTGTATGAATGTATGTATATATCTGCTTGGATTTTATGGCTAAACTACGGAACCCATTTTGATATAGCTAAGGACTTATATTTAAACAAGCGATTCTTGTACATTTATTTATACCGGCGATATCGGAAACGGCTTTAACGATTTCGCTGAAATTTGATGTGTGGGGATTTTAGGGGGCGAAAAATCGATCTAGATCGTAGAACGTATTTTCGAGATTTCATACGGTTTTCTTTCGCATTATTCCAAGCAAAATGTGGTCGCTTATTTCGCACGCTGACGCATAAACATCGTGGTCAAGCGGCCAAGGCGCAAGATTGATAATTACAGGTGTCCGGATTCGAATCCCGGTCGGATACAAAGTTTAAATTTTTTTTAGGTCTTTTTTTGTATTTATTCAAGTTTTTTGTTTTTTTCTTCTAATAAATACAATATAATAAAAAAGAACTCTCAAAAGGTAATTAGGTATATAATAAAACACGTAACAAAGAAGAAATTGTATACCAACTAATACTGGTCCTTTACTATAAAATAGAATAAAATAAGTTTTTTTTTAAATTTACTTAACTTGCGCGAATCATACTTAAATAGAACTTACTCGTATATATTATCTTGCAATAACTACTTATTGCCTTATATTTGATATTAGGACGGATAAAGCAAAAGTAATAATTTTAACTGCCATTACACATCACAGGATAAGAATTAAGAAATCATCACACAAGTGTTTGTACACAACTTCCATATCTCAACAGATAAATAAAATTGAACTATTTTTTTCTGTCTAATTGTTCTCGCTAATCTCCGAAACGGCTGGACTGATTTTGACGGGACTTTCACTGGCAGATAGCTGATGCTATAAGGAGTGACTTAGGCCACGTTTACTTTAAGAAACAATTAGGGTTCCGCTCAAAAAAATTAAAACATACCTAATAGGGACGCAGCCGAGCGAAGCGAGAGTAAGTCGCTAGTCTCTACATAATACAGCGAACCTAGTAATTGAATCAATATCTAATTTACATTAACAATTACATAATTATATTAAATTGTAAAACAGCTATCCCACGTTACGGAGTCCGCTATTTTCATAATGTTATGATAAATCCAGCGTTAGTGCATAGGGTTGCCATTTCTTTGTATAAGTAATATAACTTTTTTAATTCATGCCTCTACAACTTACGTAAAGACCATGTAAAGTAGAGATGAGACGACGAAAATAAATAGCATTCCATTTGCAAATTTATTTACACTATCGGCTCACCCTCGTTTCGCTCGGGTTCACTTCTAGAAAAAACACAAACAAATCTATCCCACGGGAACCGTACAATTTCCGGGATAAAAAGTACCCTATATGATATTACAGACTATAATCTATCTCGGTGCCAAATTTCATCCAGATCCGTTCTAGAATATAGTCTGGAGTAGCACATAGGCTATTTTTGTCCCGAGAAAAAATGTACGATTAGCGTGGGATATGTTTGTTTTTGTTTTTCGCTATGGATGTGATCCCGAAGCGAAGCGAAGGTGAGTCGCTAGTAAAAGATAACATAAGCATTAAGCAATTTATTGAGAATTTATAGTAAGAAGAATCTTAATGTTTACTTAATTTACACAATTCTTTATAATGACAAGTAATGTAAATCATAAAGAAAATATATTATTTTTGCTTAATATATAACAAATCCTACTAAATCATAACTGATGGTATCCCCACCATGGTTTCCCGTAGAGCAATTCCAGCGCACGCGCACCTGTCGTGTGCCGCCAATCACCAGACAGTGTAAGTATGGTGTAGCATGGGGACGGTTAAGGTATATGTAGAATTTAGATTGCGACTTTCTTAACACACCATGTACTTGCGAAATGAAACATTGCATAAACATTTATTATATCTGATAGAATATTTCTAATAAATAAATAATAATTCTTTTGCTTTTGTAACAACTAATAGTATGGAATAGATAGACTATAATATATACATAGGCAATAGGTATGATGAGTTTTATAATCCTTCACTTGAGAAATGATTCATTTCCCATACAAACTTTTATCCTATCCCTTTTCACCCCTTTAAGGGACGATTTTCAGGATAAAAACTATCTGATGTCCTTCCCAGGATCTCAAACTATCTTCATACCAAATTTCATCTAAATCGGTTAAGCGGATTTTCAGTTTATCCATTACAAACAAAAATAAAATTTTTGCTCTTCATAATATTAGTACCGACTATAAACTTAGGATACATAAATTGTAAATAAAAAATGTTATTGAGCAGAAATCGAATTCCAGACTCACTGTTAAAATAAAAAAAAAACTAAGAGCCATTTGATAAAAATAGTTAATTCAAATTCAATCTTAAAAAAATTAAAATAATAGAGTCAAACACATGCTTATAGATTCGAGTGGAATTTTCAGTCAGATTAATCTTATAGGCTGTAGTGTACGACATATACATTTTGAATTCAAAAGCCTTATGCCATTGGAATAGATACGAGATTGCAACAAAATAGTGTACGTGTGCAATAAAGGGTTCACATTCATAACGAAATCCAAAGTGCGAATAGATAGAGCACGAATACGATACGCATGTTATTGTTTCTATAAGTTTTATATTTCCGTATTATAACAAATACTATTGATAATAATTATAATATATCTAAAAAACGTGTGTCATACATAATTATAGACGAAAAAATCTACGTCCTTTTTTGTTAAAAACTACGTACAACGGAAATAAATTTTAATTTTTAATCTATACATACAATAATAAAACTCTGAGTCGAATCTGTACAGTAATTTTTTTTTGGAATATCTTATTGAAATAGTCATTAATTAGATACAGACGCCGCATCTATTGTTTTAGAATTTTTGTCTGTCTGTCTGATTTGGATTAAATTTGGGATGATGATAGCTGATTATCCGGGTTAACATATAAGATACTTTTTACTGCGGGAAAATACCTCGTCTCTGAGAAACCTATAGGTACTAAACGGTAAAACGTCGCGTATTTTACTAAAAAAACAACGATTATCAAGTTGCTTTTAAATGATTAGTAATTGCAAATAATGTAATTTGCTAACAATCAGCGAAAATGTGATATATTTGTCACATACACACATACATAAAAAACTTACGACCAAAATAATTAATTCTCCCTTTTGAAGTCTATACTGTTATTTACATTTTTGAACCCGATCTAAATTTTAATCATATCTAACAGATAATTAATGAAATATGTACACAAAAGCGGGTACCGTTATATACAATCATATGCTATGTATTTACACCTATATATTTAAAAAATATTTTTGTTAAATTATATTTATTTATGCATATTTTGTCGATATTTATCGACAATTTCATGGCAATAAAGTCATTATATTTTAATATTAATCAATTCCACACATAATATTACATTGTAATCACTAGGTATTCATATATAAAACACCAAATAAGGAATAGTAAATTGACGAAGTAAAAAATACTATAAATACATAAAAATAGGCACACACAAGAAACTATTACATAACATGATGCAATAAGGCTAATATTTATAACAGATATATAATACAACAAAACAGTTCGCATGAACAACAACACAAGAATTTGCATGACTAATACAAACAAATTGTGCAAAATTACCGTGAAACACACAAAAGAAGCAACCAAATAGGAAATATTAAAAAAGAAAGTTATATAAACATATAAGGAGAGTGCAAACACACAAAACAACAACAATTATATCACAAAAACGACAAACCTCACAAATCATAATATGACGGTAACATTATAAAAGGAACTTAATAAGAAGGTGCAAACAAAAACAACAGCAACGAGTAGCACAAAAACAACATTCACCACAAAATAGCACTACCTCAACGACATGGAAAATATCATAAAATAAACTTAATAAGAAGATGCAAACACAAAAACAACAGCAGTAGGTATCACAAAAACAACAACAATGATCACAACACTATCTCACCCATTGTGGCGGAACATCCGCGTGTTGGTGGTGCTGGTGGTGACTGTGACGGCGATCGGGCGGGTGGCCGTTGGACGCCGCGCACGACGTCGCCGCCACGCCGTACTTGTACGAAAAGTGATTAGTGAGCGTGATACAACAATAACACTGCTATTCTAATTGTTGTATTGTGATGGTTTCATGGGTGTTAATTGAACCAATTGTATGGATTTAGTGCTGGCTGATCAAAGTGAAACAACAAAGATTAAATTATTTGTGTGATTATCACTATATGTATACATATTATAAATTAAAGTGAGTTTGTACTCGTTCTAGATAATCTCAAAAGCTACTGTATCGATTTTCATATGGTTTTCACAAAAAGATATGGAATTAATTAAAGGTTATAATTTATAGACATATTGCAAAACTAATCTACCTGCTATGGTTTTTGATGTCGATTCTTTTAAGTACTACTACTAACATTGATAGAAAAATAAAGAAATGTTAATACTCTTCACAAACACACACTGACTGTACTGCTACATCTCAAAACTCTGTATCTATAGGATGTTTATTACAAACACAAGGTAATAGTGATGACACGAACATTCGCATTCGCATATATTCGCATATTATTTGGCATTCGCATTCGCAAGAAACAACAGTCAATGTTTGGCGGATGTATTTGACCAACAAAAAGGAAATTATATATGGAATGAATGGATATGGAATGATAATACAACTGTGCTTTACTCATAACTTCGTTCATTCAAGCTGTATCGGCTCGGATAGGTTCGGTTTAAACATGGCCGCCACAAAACGTCAAACCTGTATTTTTGACATATTGCGCGCGCTTCATATGACAGTCAACATTCGCATTCGCATTCGTGAATATTGGTGATGAATATTCGCATTCGCATTTCGTATATTCGTTACATCACTACAAAGTAATACATTAATATTAGTTTTTCCTATACGAGTATCCTATTATAAGAAAATAACTTATCCAATACTTTTGTTATAGTAACATAGAACAAATTTGCACTGTGATCTCGTAACAGCACATTCAATACATTAGGTCGACTACCCTTGTTACGATAAGTCCATTTAGCGATAGTCCGTTGGGACACTTTATCGGCGATACGAATTTTGTTTTACCGAAAGTAGTCATATACATTTTATGAATGTAAGAAGGTCCTATTTACTATGTAAATAAATATTTGATTTAAATATTAGGGTAGCGTACTTATAAACAAAAAGTTACTTAGACAGTAGATAATAAAATGCGTACATTAAACCTTTTTTGAACCGTTATTCTTCAAGTATATGAAAATGTTTTTTTTTATTTGCAAAGAATTTAATATATCCATATCAACATAAAAACTTAGAAAAACCGACTTCCAGGCACTAAAATGTAAAAAATAACTAAACGGGGCTTTTCTTTTAGAATATCTATGTATATATCTAATCTAATGAGATATTTTGGAAGTCGGTTAAAAAGGCTTTATGTTTTTCATTTTGCTGTAAACATACACCAGTAGACATCGCTGTAATGCTACAAATTCTTCACAGCTCAACCGATCACCGTGTAAATAGCCACACGGACACACGGACATATTTATGCATACAGATAATATTTATTATACAATATGTTAACCATTTACGCATGCGAAACCGCGGCCAAAGGGTTGTATATATAAATAAAAAGACAGCTATGACTGTCAGACACATGTACAATCTAATATAACAAAACGAGTCCGTAAATACGCACACTACGTAGGTATTAGCCACTCGGCCGAGCGTCTTCAGCTTTATAGTCGACGTAATGTCCTCGTACTGGTATGGGCAAAAGTGAGACAAGATCGATATTTATAAACAAAAATAATTTGTAAGAAGAAATATTTTACGAATTCAGTAAAAAATATAAGAAAGAGTTCGTATTCTAGATTGGGATATTAAAATCTGAAACTTTTCAACCATCACCAATACATAACACATGGAAGATAAAATAACCCAAGACCTGCAATTAAATGCATTTATATACACATCTATACATACAATAAAATTGTAACTGAGCCGAATCTGTACATTAAATATTTTTTTGGAAAATCTTACTGAAATAGAAATTATTATCGATACAGAGGCCGAATCTATTGTTTTTAGAATTTCCGTCTGTCTGCATGTCTGTGACCACATCACGGAAAAACCACTGGAGGGATTTTGACAAAATTTGGTATGATGATAGCTGGTTATCTGGGTCAACATATAGGATACTTTTTACTGCGGGAAAATATCTCATCTCTGAGAAATTTATACTAAACGTTAAAACGTAACTAGGCACGAACCCGAGCGGAGCGGGGGTGAGTTCCTAGTTCTTAATATATAATACTAACGACTCACCCTCTTTTCGCTTGGGTTCGTCCCTAGATACGTTTTAACGGTTGGTATTGCACAGATAGACTATATATAATATGATAACTGCTATCTAATGTAAAAATATTTTTTCAAATCGGATAAGTAGTTCCTGAGATTAGCGCGTTCAAACGAACAAACAAACTCTGCCTCTTTACAATATTTATTTGATTTCTAATAATAAACATTTTTTCAGGAGGATTTTCAGATAAATATAGCAGATACAAAATGAGCTAAACTGTCTGTACTGATAGAGTGGCTAACCACGACAAATTGACATTGTTATAACTTACCTTCATTGTTCAAAACTCCTAATTTTATTAATTAGCAAGCAACTCTAGGGCTTGCTTCACTCGAGTGCGTGTCTACGACACCAAACAGGAGCATATGTGTATAATAAACCATATCGAAAACTGTCCACTCATGCTACCATTAAGGAGTAACAAACATACAGACACACAACTTTCATAATTACAATGGTAGTTCGATTTCTTTACAACATATAATAGGTGAAGTATCAATTAAAAGTTTCAACGTATAATCATATTTGTAGGGCGTAATTAACAAACAAAACGTTATATTCAAGAACTTTTGTAGAGAAATATATAAAAAAAAAAAAAACAAAATATACTAAGCGAGAATCAATGGGGAAGTCTAAATATTACCAATTACTTTGTAATTACAAATGACAGATAGTTATTTTATAAATAATTCATATAATTGAACCCCTTTCAAGAAATATAAACCGATTGCTTAATAGCTTTAATTTCGGTTTAACCCTTATTCACCCAAATTCAAAGTAGTAATTACAATTATAATTACGGCTGTAATATTCCAATTATAAAGCACTTTTCTGTGGCACTGTCTTCGCGAGGCCGTGAATTAAAGACATCCCCCTTTTGGGAGGTCGATGGGGGGGTGGAGGAAAATAAATAGGACAATTCGTTGCAGTTACATACCCGCCGCGTGTCTTTGCTTATGTTTTATTATTTTAATTAATAATTTTTCAAGAAACTAGCGTAGCATAGTATACTCGTATAATACTAGCGGCTCAACCTCGTTTCGCTTGAGATCGCCTCTAGGTAGACAAAATCCCACATGGATCGTACATTTTTCCGTGATAAAAAGTAGCCTATGTGTTATTCCAGACTATAATCTATCTCTGTGCCAAATTTCATCCAGATCCGTTCAGCCGTTTTGGCGTAAAAGAGTAACAAACGTCCATACTTCCATACTCACAAACTTTCATATTTATAATATTAATATAGATACTAGCGACCCTCACTTTACTCTGGTACATCTCTAGCGGTCTTTTTGTCAAGCATTTTTTTTCTTTTTAAACTGTTCAGTCAGCGAACGCTATTAAAGTAACTTAACTGTCTCTTTTCTTCCGAATTCAATATTAAATTTATTTAATTCCTGACAAAACCCCTATTTTTTTGGAACTAAAACTAGCCCATAATACTCAGCAGTAATGCAGCTTCCTATTAGTGAAAGACCTTTCAGAATCGTATCAGTATTTTCACAACATCCCTGAATGTGCTTTGTAAATATTGTATATAATGTACCATCGTCCCGTGATATTGTAAGAAAAGGAGACGAATTACAAAACTCCGGATAATTTGAAATTATAATTACACGGTTATTACAACAATTTACCTGCGACATATACAAAAAATGGCAGCAAAGAGAAATAGCACCAAATAAATAAATAAAAAATTTGTATTAAGAGTTTGGATTTTAAATCAGAATATGTCTCCGTTTGTCTGTATATTTAAAAAAAAAATTAGTCGAACGTTAACGAGTAAAATATAACGAGATTATTATGTAGAATCATTATATTTTACGATTTATTAAATAAATAGCACATAAAAACGTTCAAAGACATAAAAATTACAACTTAGAATGAATAGAAGTGACAATACATATTTTTGAATTTCTAGAGTTCCATATACAAACAGTTGAGTATTTAAACGTCCATCCATCTATCTGTCTGTTTGTCATATCGTTAATAATTATTGATTAATTATAGGGGTTTTTTATGTTATGGCGAAATCCTGACGTGATAGAATCAATCTGACCTTGGATTATGATTCAGCGACCCCAAAAACATACACTAAACGTAGTCAGACCCCTGAGCCAATATTTTTTTGTATGGCTGCGTTTTTTTTTTGTGATTAACAACAATATGGTGAAGTAGTTGGACTCGTGGTAGACTTCAGACTAACCTTCAACTTTTACTATATGTATGTATACTCGTATGTAGGTACAAAACCCCACAAGTATGCGAATCCTTATCACACTTAACTTATTATATTCTCTCTTATGTCTAAACAAATTAATTATCAATGAAATAAATTATGTAAAACAAATGCCCATAAAATGTTTAAAGTCACATTTATGGTTTATGGGATATTACAACACAACGACTGCATTGAAATTATATTTTAGTTCTGACAGCTCCACACACAGCGTAACAGTCCAAATATATTACGAGGTACAAGCGACCAATTTCATGGGTTTTTAGTTTTTTTTCGCGGAACCCTAATTGTTTTTCTTATATAAAAGTAGCTCACGTAACTTCTTATAACATAAGCTATCTACCAGTGAAAATCTCGTTAAAATCTGTCCAGTCATTTCGGAAATTATTCGCAAAGAGACGGATGGGCGTCTACAGACAAAAAAATTAAAAAAAATTTATTTCTTATATGAGTAACTTATATAATTT